CCCCAAAACCCCAAAACCCCAAAACCCCAAAACCCCAAAACCCCAAAACCCCAAAACCCCACTACTATAGAAATAATTGTGAATAGTTTTCAAATAATATTTTAAAAAGTCCCATATAAAAATAAATGGACGAAGACGAGAAATATAATACAAAGGAGAATGGATTCAGTCCGGAAGGAAGCCTTCCTGATATTAATAAGAATAAGTCTGATTCTCAGAAATTTCAAATGGATGATTTCAATAGTAAGGAAAGCGAGCAAAATGAAGTCAAGGGATTCTCTCCACAAGAAATAAATCATAAGGCTAAGAACCATGATAAAAGAATGTCAGCTGTTACTGATAAGCTCCAGAACTTGGATGAGGGTGGCAGTCATAAAAATGGAACCATCACCGGCTCTGATCACAAGCCTGTTGGTAAATATAACGGTGCTATTGGTCAAGCAAACCAGTATGAGAACAATCTTGACAACTCCAGATCCGGAGTTCAGAACGAAAAATAACGTTGATGACCCACATGAGGGCTCTCAAGCTGCTAATGAGATCCTATACAAAGAGCGAAGAAGATGTCCTCGGTGTCCCCAGAAAGTTACCGACTGCATCAACAAAGTGCTCGACAATCACTTCTACATTATTTTCATGACCATCGTGACCTTGTACGCCTTGTTTGGGGACGACCTGAGGATCCTGCTCAGTCCGAAGTCAGGAGACCCCATATTCTGGGGATTTAGTGTTGCCGCAATGTCTCTGTTTCTGCTCGAGCTGGTCTTAGCATCGTTTGCTCAGAAAGACTACTTCCTCGGATTCTACTTCTGGCTCGACCTCATTGCAACGGTCTCGCTGATCACCGACATCGGGTGGATCTACAACGAAATGGTTGGAGGTGGAGACATCTCAGCCAACAACGCCTCACAGGCTTCAAGCCTGGCCAGAGCTGGCCGAGGCGCTAGAGTTGGAACCAGAGCAGGCAGAATCGTCAGACTCGTCAGGCTTATTCGTATTGTCAAACTCTATAAGAACGCACACAAGGCACTTGAGAAGAACGCCGGAGTTGACTCGGACGAAATCACAGCTGAAGAGCTGCAGCAGATTCACGCAAAGAACGACAGCGAGAAAGAAGTTGAGAAAGAGAGCTATGTTGGTCAGAAGCTGTCTGATTTGACGACGAGAAGGGTTATTACAATAGTCTTGATCATGATGTTTAGTGTCCCCATTCTTTCTCTTGATACTTACATTGAAGAGCCAACTAGTTTCGAATGGGGACTTCAGTTGATATCAAAATTTGATGACACACCTGGTCACCCGGGCTATGCTCAAAGCTTCAATACATTCATTTCGGAATCAGATAGCACTAGAAACCCAATTGTATCTCTCAATGCAAATGGACGAACCTTCGATAGCACTAGCCCTACACTTGACGAACTTAGAACTATCGAAGTTCTTGTTGCTACATATGATGGTGATAGATATGTATCAGTCCATGATAACAGGAAGAACATTAAAGTTTCAGCTGGGTTAGGTATTGGAAGAACCATCTTCATTTGCTTGGTGCTCACGATTGCAGCTATGTTTTTCTCAAACACCACAAACACTCTTGTTATCGGTCCGATAGAGTCAATGATTAAGAAAGTCAAAAAAATAGCCAAGAATCCTCTAGAAGCTGCTCAGGAAGAAGAAAACCAGGCACTTGCTAGAGAAAGACTCAACAAAAACGAGTCTGAAGAGTCTAAGAAGAAAAGACTTAAAGCTGAGAAGGATGGTCTCTACGAAACTGATATCCTTGAGAATACAATAGTAAAAATTGGAGCTCTCCTTGCTATTGGGTTTGGAGAAGCAGGATCTGCTATCATTGCCAAAAATATGGAAAAATCAGGTGATGTAAACCCAATGCTTCCAGGAAAGAAATGTGTTGCTTTCTTTGGATTTTGTGATATAAGACAATTTACTGATACTACCGAGATTCTCCAAGAAGAAGTCATGGTTTTTGTCAATGAAATAGGAGAAATTGTTCATGCTATAGTCGACTCATTCGCTGGAGCTGCCAATAAAAATATTGGAGATGCCTTCCTTCTTGTCTGGAAACTACCAGATGAAGATACTAAGTGGAGTTCGGAAGAGAACAATCTAACTGTAAAACCAACAATCAGAGCAGGTCAAACTGCTGAAATGGCTTGTATTTCCTTCCTCAAATGCTTTGGAGGCATTAACAAAAGTAGGAACCTTTATAAATACAGGAGCTATGAAAAATTAAACGAAAGGATGCCAAATTACTCCGTGAAAATGGGATTCGGACTCCATGTTGGATGGGCAATTGAGGGAGCTATCGGTTCTGATTTCAAAATTGATGTATCATATCTATCCCCAAACGTAAAATTATCAGATGAATTCGAAGCTTCAACAAAAATCTTTGGTACCCCATTATTAATGTCTGGGGATGTCTATCACTTAATGACCGACGAAACGAAGAAGAAGTGTCGACAGATGGATGCAGTGAAGATCCCTGGAGCTAGCGGAATCTTCCATCTCTATACTTGAGATATTGACTACGATTTAATAGAAGTTGAGCATGAAGATAAGGCAGAACTAAGTGGAGATCAGAAAAAGTTAATAAGAGTAAAAGCTAGACTAAAAAGGGATAGAGAAAAGGTTAAAATGTTCGACGGAACATTTAAACTCGTCAATCTTTTCGAAATTGATGAGGATCTCAAAGTAATGCGCCAGCCATTCTCTGAAAAATTCTACGAAATGTACAATTCTGGATTCAAAGACTATATTGAGGGTAACTGGGAAGATGCTAGATCTAAACTAGAAGAAGTAGAAAATATCAGAGGATCTCCTGATGGTCCCTCTCTCAGTCTCCTCGGAGTAATGAGAAGCCATAATTTTAAAGCCCCTGCTGACTGGGAGGGTTGGAGAGATCTAGAAGGTTAGTCCTCCTAATTTCATAAAGTAAGTAGTCAAGCATGACACTAGTACTTCTTTGAAGAAAAAGTATAATTTTCAGTTATATTATAATTAAAAGGGGTTTTGGGGTTTTGGGGTTTTGGGGTTTTGGGGTTTTGGG